AAAACGAGCGTTCTTGCTCATTTTGCTTCCGAGAAACATGCAAAACGGGACGGAAAACATGAAATTTTGCAATAATCTTGCGCCACCCTTGCACCAAACGACAATCATTTTTCTAATTTCATAAACAACAGAAGACTGTATTTTTTCTACATAACCCCCCCCCTGACTTTAAAGCTGGATCCGCCCCTGATGTCCAACTCAAGTAGACACACTGTATATATGTATAGATAATTTTTATTTAAGTAGAAATGCACTAATCCACAATAAAACCAACTTTCATACATTTTTTAAACCGCTTTAATTCAACTTTGAAACATTGTCTAACATAAAACCTAGCGTTTGTTCACTGAATGTCACAAAGCAAAGCAGCGCCCCGAAGACACCAATGCTCTGGAGGCTTCGCTGTCTGCATCCAAAGAACGGTGATAAAATTCAAGCCAGTTCTTCGGGCTTTTTTGTAAACAGGGCACTGAAAAATCACGATGTTAAATGCAGTTTCAAATAAGGCCCTTCTTCTAAGGTCGTACCGTATAGAGAGTAGGGGGTTTGGGATCGGTTGAATTGATTGCATACACATGCACTACAGGAATCACCGTGTAGAGCACTTTGTTGGTCGACTCCATTAGTCTGCTATGTCTTCTGTCCCATCCGGCTCCATCCAGGAACAGCCCGTAGATCAAAACGCCTTCCTTCAATTCCAAAATTGCAGACTTCGAATTAATTTTCTAATGCTTCCCTTACCGGAGGTGCATTGTTTATTTCCTCCTTCATGCTCTTGGTGACGTCGTTTAGAATACTGACTTGGTCCAAAGCCCAGCCTTTATGCGCTCGAGCCACTTCTTGCTTCATGGCGGTCAAAAAGCCTTGGGGATTGAAGAAACCGGCCAACCAAAAGCAGAGTGGGCGACCTAAAACCATTAAACCCTGCTAAATATTGTGGTCGTCTTCCAATGCGTTACTCACCTCCGAAGCACCAGGTTCTAAACTGAGTATCACGCTCGATGAGTTCGGTGAACCAAAAGCCCAAAGTGTTCGCTTCCCAAGAACCCCGGATCCAGATGCCAGGCACTTTTGCATCGTAGATGCTATCCAGAGCATCTCCTAGGGCCTTATGGAATACAATAAACTCATTTAGATGGCTAATTGGAAGGTATTGAAACGATCTACTTCGCTCATTATGATGGTTCCTTCGATGGCCAGCAGAAGATCACTCAACGTCGATCTTACCAAGCTGATAACGCGTTGCATTCGGTCGATTTCTTGTCGTAGAAAGATGTTTAACGGGTTCAGCAAGTTCATTGCTTTTAATCTGAAATAGGTTTTCAAGTTACTCTGTAATTATCTGTTAAACTGTCTGCATTAAAGACCTTTCTTTCACTTCAAATGGATCATAATTCTTCGGCAATTTGGACAACATATCCGAGGCTTGCCGGCCGACTGCGGTTTCTCTTGATTCACCACCGCCACCTCCAGATTCTTTGGGCTGAATTGCCAACATTGTATCAAACATTTGAATAGTTGTATTGGTTTGATATCTACAAATGGAAAAAGTTGGCGAAAATTTTGCCCGATTGCCTGTTCCTTATTACTAACGTAATGTCCGCGTTAGAGTGCAGCCCATACGCCTGAGGAGGATCAGTGGTGGGAAACCCATCAATATAGGCCAAATAGTCGGCCACGTTCTTGAACCTGACTATCTTGTATCCTTTGTAGAACATAAAGTCGTCTTTAAACACATCGTCGCTAAACCACACTCGACAGAATGTATTCAGCAGCTTTTTATCAAAGTCGTCCGTCACTCTGCCGCCGTAGTGAACCTCCCCCAACATGTACCTGGTAGGACAAAATTTCACTCCCTGAACATGGAGTTTTGAGGAAATCTACCGTAAAGTTTGCCAGCTGATTCCCCTTTTTGGATCCAGGTCATCCAGGTGGTTTTGCAGGAACAAGCAGCTGGAGAGCCAATCGGCCGAATTGAATTCGTAGGGAATGTTCCAGCCGAGAGGGCCGAACTTGCGACGCTCCTGAACGACGGTGTGTAAAAATGATATGGCATAAACCAGAGGAATGTATTGCCAAGCATCCGAGTAATCAAGCATATCTTGGTTCATCGATGTGTACGTTCTTAGCAAACCTGCAGTGAAACTGCATAGAAACCCAAGCAATGTTGGCTGAAAGAGACAAAACCTGCACGAATCCCAGACGGAGCCTCATTAGTAAACTTGATGCAAATCTGCAACAAACTAATGGGGAACTTCGGATGCACCTCAGTAGTGATCCACAGCCGGAAGTCCGGATGAACCGAACCAATGCCTTTTTCCAGATCCAGAAACTGAAAAAGGACCTCGTTCATGTAGTCGAGCGACAGATGGCAGTTTTGCAGTAATGCCCAGAAACCCTGCAAAAGGTCCAATTGCAGACGACATCGTCACCAACAGTGTTCTTCACCTCTTGCATAGCACTGTTGAGCATCTTCCGAGCATGCACCTCCTGTCCCTGACCCATGGAAATGCTTTTGCTTTTCAATTCCAAACGTTTGGCCAGTGTTTCAATGTAAGGCGTCGGATCGGAGCCCATGCTCAAGAAGCAAACTAACGGCGTTAGTGGCCGCGATTCTTCGTGCATTATTTCAAAGTTTAAAATCACCGGTTCGGCGAACCTTTGTCCAAGAGAACTGGCTATGTACTTTCTGCTTTGCGTTATTGTCCTATCAGGGCACCAGGCTCTAGAAAGTTCTTGAAAATTGTACAATACATAAAATACTCCTTGGTATCCCGTTCACTCATCGAAATTCATTCCTGATTCAGACTTGATCAACATAATTTAAACCACCAAAAAAACTACTCACCTGATAATCAACAGCCGCCTGAAAGTATCCAAGCTATTATACCCATCTGGTATAACAGCTTCTTCTGGTGCGTCCTTATCAAACCACACCTTCCACTGCTTGTCATTGGCTGAAACTTGTTGCACAATGTATTGAAAGTGTCTCAGTTTGGTCAGTTCAACCAAATTCAACCACGTCAAATCGTTGATCCACTTTGCAGGCTTTGGAGGACAATCGTTCAAATCCAGAGCGGCGCCGCCCTTAATAAAATTTTGAAACTCTTCATGCGTAATGTGCTCCCGGTCCAGATCAATATTAAGGCACATGAGCAGAACGAACATGTACTTGTTGCATTCGTACAGTCCTCTGGACTTGTACTTGAAGATTTCATAGGTGAGGTACTCGATGATGAATTGGATGCGTTTTTGGATCAGTGGAGTTTTTTCCGAGTCAATCATCGAGATGTCGAAGCGTTCCAAAAATTGCACCAAAGAGGTTTGATACATGCAATTGACCATTGACATGCTCACCACCAGGAAGTAGAGAATGCTGCCTCTGGTGGCAATAGGACGGAACTCTTCTCTGGCTATGTTGATTTTTATCTCAGTTTCCTTGGCGATTTGCAGCTTTTCCCTTACTTCCGCCGCAGTGTTTTTGGTCACATTTAGCACGTCAATCACTGTATCATCATCGAGCAAAGACCCTTTGGTCGTGGTCAATTTATACAGCAAGTTTTGTTCAAGCTCCTGCATTTTTCGCCGATTAGCCGTCACGTCTTTGATCAGGTTGGTCCTTTCGGTTTCCAGCTCCTTTTTCTCTGTTAGGATAACCCGCCCCAGTAGCTGATCCTCCAGGCCCTTCATTGTAACGGTGAAATCTATGACGGCAGTTCTAGCAAATATCTCGGGCGTATAATTTGGGTTCGCCAGTTTCGTCGTAATGTAAATCCTGAAGCTGTCATTAACGTCCACCTCCTTATCTCCCACTTTCACTTTATAAGTGGTACCGATCTTTATGTGGTTCTTCTCCAAAACGTTATCCAGTACTGGATCGAGTTCTTCCCCGATATCTTCGATAATCATCGGGTACCCCAATGAGACTGCATCTTCAATGTGATTTCTGCAGCAAAAACAGTTCAAGCATCAGCTGCAACCGGAAGAAACGAGGAAATTACCGAAAGTATTTATCGTTCAGAGAAGTGACGATTAGCTGGTTGTTCTTCTCTTTGTCCTTCACCCAGGATTTTCCCTGGTTCTGCGGATCAATCAGTAACGGGTATCTGGATGCGGTGGTTACAATAATGCCGTTTTGAATCGACAAATCGTCGGTTGGTAAGCCTTGAATGTTCCATTCTCCAATCTACATTAAGGGAGAAATGGAAAAAGATTTCACAGACTGAAACAGTGGCAAAACCCAAAGCTCCAAAATGAAGATTTACCGTTGCAATATCGGTTAAACTCTCAATAATGTTCAGGCTGACTGTTACAGGGATTTTGCGTCTTGTTAGAGAGTCGAGCCACGTTTGCTGCATCGTACACCTGAATTCCTGATTAAATGGTCCCGTATAACCGAGAAACCCGGTCAGCAATACAACATCTCCAATAAGACGTTCGGTTTCAGCTTTAAACTGAGCCAGCTGATCGGTCCAGCGAATTCTTTCACCAGCCAGACCATCTATTAGGGCAGTGGCTGCGTCCATCTTGTTCTTTACCTTCATCGCTGCATCAAAAATTTCCTAGAACCCAATATTAAATCCAGATTTTTCCAAACCATCTGTAAAAACCGCATCCAACCAAGCCGAACCAAAAAGTTCAAAATACCTGTTTCTTTGCCATTGCTTCTTCATAAACGCTTTGACACTGGCGAACTTCTGCCTCTTTTTCCGCCAGCAAACTCATAGCGGCTTGAAGTTCTTCTTGGGCTCTGGTTAATTTAACTTGTTGGATGGCTAAATTTGCCTAAAATATTGTCAGACGTAAAAAACGGTCACATTTCATGAAAAACCGTACTTTTAAGGGCAAAACTTCCCGATTTACTTCGTAAAACGACGCCATTGCAATGGTCCATGCGATCAGACCTGCAACATTTCCGCAGGCGGTTTTTGCTGATTCATACGTATATAAGGGATGGCTTAAATACGGTTGCAGCAAATCTATTACTTCCCCGTTTATTGTGTCTTTTGGATACTCCTGCAGACGTCGTAGGAAGGTTGTATCGGCCATCACCTAAAAGTCGTTTTATTGCAGAATTACAGAACTTTGCTCCTTTGTGAAAGAACCTTCAAAGACTCGCTCCATGATGGAGTCAAGAAGGCCTTTTCGGGGTCTGGCTTTATGGGGTCGATTTTTCTTTTGAAATAGATCAGCACCGCGTCCATGATGAGCAGAATTAAGTAGGGAGGTTTGCCCAGTTTTCTCACCGTTGCTATATCGGAAGCTTTGATAGTCTGCAGAGTTTCTACATTGGAAAAGCTGTTTCTTGATAACGGCGGTTGCATACCTGTAGGGCTGCTTCGGCCGCATCCAGGGCAGGCTTTGCCGCCAGCAGCTTAGCTTCAGCTTCCTTCTGGTCGACACTAATGAGAGCCACCAAGTTTTCAGCTCTCTCCTTCACTATCGTTGCTTCTTCCTTGATTTGCGTTGCTACTTTGCTGGCCGCCAGCACCTCAGCTAGTACCTGATATTAAGCAGATTCAGGGAACTGATTATTAAGGCGAAATTGCTGCTACTAAACCTTTTCAGCCGCTTCAGTAGCCACCAGCATCTCCTTCTCCTTTACAGCCAATTCAGTCCTGAGCACATCCACGCTGACCTGAGCTTCCACCAGCTTGGATAAGCCAGTTTTCATTCTAATTGCCAACACTTCGATATCCTCAACTTTCTTCCTGTACAGCCCCTTATATGCGGCTAGGAACGTAATGAAGGTCTTAGGTGTTACATAGGTGCGCCTTCGGAATCTGCAATAGCGTGTTAGAGAAAAAGTTGCGGCTCAATTCATGGTCTGACTTTTCGTAGTATTTGTCGCAAACATCAGAGACTCCATCGTGGACCTCGGCCATAATAAAGATGAGCTCTTGCTTCACTTCCGGAGTGGACACAACTTCGTAGTTTCCTAGGAAATGTTGAGAGACTTCCTCTAGCGCGTCTTGTGGCCACTTTTGGAACCAGTTGATGGTGCATCCGGAAATCAGTCCGGGGAACTTCAGGGCTCTGCTTCGGAACTTTTCGCCCACCTTCAAATTATTGGTGTTATTTATTGGTCTTTTGGAATACTGGAAGATCCTTGCCGGTGAAAAGCACAGAACAACATGCAAGTTCTGTCTGGCTCGAGTGAGGAAAAAGTCGTACAAGTTATCTCCAGTAGGTGGACGTTTCGGTTGCACTTTCTTCATAACTGGAATCAGGTTGGACTGGATTTCATCCAATTCGTCTTTGGCAAACAGATTCGCAATTTCCCCAGAACTCAAAATGTTGTTGATGCTCTCCAGGAAAGTCTCTTCCTTGATCTCATTATCCGTGAAGACAAAGGTCATTCCGTTGCCTTCTTCCCCAGCCACTCGATACAGATACTTCATGTCTTCCATCAAGTTGCTGACATTATAGGAGCTATTAAACACCACAGATGCTGTTGGCTTTTAAATTGAAAAGCTTGCATATTTATTACCGCGTTAGTTGGATCTGGAAACTCTTATAGTTGGCAATAAACGAGGAAAGTCGGGTCAAACTTTGCTTGCCAGACCCTCCTACGCCCACCAACAAGGCGTTTCCTTTGGGGGTTCGTACCACTCTTGAAATGATCATCAAATTTACCATGGCGTCGTGGAAAAAGACCAAATCCATTGGACTACCACGAACAGCGTCGTTGTATTCGGCCATAAATGCTACAGTTTCAAAATGTGTGCACTGAATCAGTTGGAAATATAAAAACCTTCCAGAAGGATGCATGGTTTGCATCACACATACTCTACGGGTCCCAAACCACTTTTATTTCAACAAATCTTACCAAATAATTTCTCCTTCAAAAAGTCCCAACTTGGAATTTCCTCGTATATTTTTGGGGCGCTAAAATCAAAGTCATCAGGTTCATCCCCAGTTGCATCTGGAGGTTCTCTGAGGAAGTCCACCCAATACGTTTCTCCCTCCGTGTAAAACTCAAAATCGTCTCCCAATTCTTCGTTGGCTTGCGCTTTCAAAGCCTCCTCGAACCATACCTTGTCCGGGATTACCGTAAATCTACAATAGCTGGTAAGTCAGACAGAGCGAAAGGGATTTTTGTGAATAAACTGGCCTGTCTGAGATCACCCTCTGACACTCGTGCCTCCATAACTTCAACAGTTGGGTCTTCGTCTGGCACTCTAGTCCTTGAACGGTTAGAATGCCTTGCCAGATGCGCGATAAATCTCGCAAATTGAAGACGTAGTGAAACTTTGCGGGAGTTGGCAGCATTTTCTGCTTGGTTTTCTGCCAGACATGACGAGTTAGGGGAATAAGTTTGGGCAGAAACTCCACTATTTCCTCCGTGAAGCGCTCGATGCAGAAATAACCGCAGCCGATTTGGCCTTAAGACAAATGCATCGTCAATAGAAGAATTGCTGGTTTAAAGTGGCTTACTGAAAATCAGGTCCATGGACGTGGTACTGGGCAGGGTGCAGTTGAAAATGCAAAATTGCCTCTTCAAACGATGAGGGATGTCATTCCTGCCTCCTCCTGGATGAATCATGGCAGCCACCAGCATAACATCGACGATATAGGAGAAATCCCCCGGCCTGTCCAAGCTGTAAAACCCTCCTAACAATCCCAAGTAAATCCATTGCAAGTTTTTACTAAGCAATCGAACCATTTTCCATCAGCTGGCGCACAATTTCATTGGTTATCTGATCGCCCCAGTCATTAATAACCGGCATATTGATGTCATCAATGAAAACGGTCAACGTTTTGCCTGCAGGCGGTCCATAAGTCGTCCCAACTCGCTTGTCCACATAACTTTCGATAATTCTCTAAATGGAAGCCACGAATTAATGGAGGCAGCACACTGGTTGCTGCCGCACATACTTGAACCATGTTCGGAGTAGTAGCAGAGGAAAAATTAAAGGACTTGCTCAGTTTGAAGTCGGGATCAAAGGTGGACAAGTTGCCTTTAATCATCACTGTTTTGGCCGTTCCAGGTTCACCTAGAAATTTACCGGAATGAGCCCGATGGTAAATGGTTAACGAACAACCAAGCCACGAAGTCCAATAATGCTGAAGAAGACTAGTGTTGAAGAATCTAATGCGGACGGACTCAAGAATTTGAAGATTTTTTTAAATATTCGGAGGAACTGTATCCTGAGACCACTAGATTTGACTCCTCCGGATTTTTTTGGGAATGTTAAACGAGTAGTCTGTTACACAGTATATACACAATTTTCTCTGTACTTCCTAAATCATCCAAGAAGATCTTTCAGAATATGACTTATACTATAAAACAATAGAACTCACCGCAAGGCAATAGAAACTTACCAATCAAAAGCACAGCTTTATTCTGCTTGGCAGTGTTGTGAATCAAGAACGCTGTTCGTACGTTGTCCACGTTTGGTACCAAAATATTGGTAAACTCCAAGACAGCGTCCGTGGGATACAAGAATTCCTCCACTCTCTCATTCCAGTGTTCCCATTTGCCAGTGTCGGCATTGACCACATACTCGAAGATAGTTTCGTTCTCCTTGCACTTCGGCCAGTCAAGCTTGGAGGGATGAGAAAGCGCATATTCTTCCAATTTGACTCTATCGTCCAGCTCCAGAAGAGCCCCCAATGACCACATAACGGCGAAGATGAACAGGCGCTCTAACTGCTTGTCCGTCCATTGCTCTGCATTGAAGAAGCCAATAAGCAATGAAACCACCGTGAATCGCCATCCATACTGGGCTCTTCTGAGATATCCAAAATGCCTTGAAGAACATCGTAGCATTGTCTGATGTACAACGCCTCGCGGACAAACATTTTGGGTTTCAACTTTGTCTGAACAAATGTGTGCAAGTCGCCAAAGCACTTGGCAAAAATGCCTCGTAAAACATCGGCTTCCTGCTGCTGTCTGGTTTTCAGCCAGGAATCCAGAATGGGCGCCCACGGAAGGACTGAAGAGCTCATAAACACCATCCCTGGAAGCTCTTTACGTATTAGCCCGGAAATACGCCGAAACCGGGAAAATTCTACCCATTCTGGATACAGTAGCTGGGCTGGCATTGTCCACATTATCCGGTTCAAACACCAGCTTGCAATTGGCTGCCATCACAATGCGATCTCCATTAGCCAGAGTTAACGTTTTGTTATCATCCAAAACCGAATTGAGATTCTCTATCCAAACCGCATCCACTGGACCATCCAAAACCAACCTAATGACCACAAAAATTACACTATTTTATGGGAGTATATTTTGAAGCCCTTTACCAGCAGTAGTCACTTTTCTTGAACTTCAAAGTCCGTCTCCAAAGAGTGGAAAATATACCATCGGTCCAATCGTTGGTGGCCACATCGAGTCTTCCAAACATTTGAGGAGCCGTTATGGCCTAAAATGAAAATTTGTCGATATTTGATCTAGACAGGTTTTGTGAAGAACCTTGGGGTTCATTCGCAGCTCTCTATGAGGAAGTCCAGTTTCTGTCATCGCTTTCATTAGAGTGTACATACATCTGGTTTTTCCTGCTCCGGTTGGACCTACGAATATTCGATTAGACGATTTAGATGCTGATGTCTATTTATGCAAAAGTTACTCTTGCAGACGCATGTATTCAAATAGCGAACAATGTTTTTTATGCTTAATGTTTAGTTACCTAAAACCATGAGTCCATGTCGCACCAGAGACGTCTCGTACAGCTGAATCACCTTCAGATTCCATGAAGGATAGTTGACTAATCCAGTTTCGGAGCAAACGTAACCGATAGCTTTCTGAAGGTCCTTCCAGGAATGGACGGATAGTTTGATTCCGGGAAACATGTCCTCGATGAGGGACAAGAACAGCGGCTCATCTTCGTCGATTAGTTTACTGAGGTTCATGTCCCTAAAGTCGAAATTTCCACACGACTGTCCCCCTTTGGTAACTTAATAGTGCAGATCTTACCGTAAAACCCTCATCACTATTGTTTCTTCTGTATCAGTCGGATGGCTCCGCTTTTGAGCTCCAAGAGTCCGCAGAACTGATAGAATATTCCGCAAACCGAAGTCGTAATGCACCTTAACAAAATGTTTGTTATTTTTCCAAAACCTTGGGGAAAAATAGCAGTACCTGCTTGGACAGCTGCTCTTCGCATAGCTGATAGAGCGTGTAAAACTTCCTGGATAGAATCACATTGTCTTTGAAGCCGCAAGAGGCCATTTTGACTCGAATGATGATTTGGCGATCTGGAACCATCATTGCCACGCTTCTAAACATAATTTTCAGATTTTCTGGAAGCTCCTGCCGTCCGGCGTAGCCGGGATTCATTGTTAAGAAAATCCCGAATTCTATATTCATTGTAACATTATCCCCATCCCTAAATACAGAATCTCGCATCTGGCAAAAGTTTAGATCAACGTAGGCAAATTTACATGAAAACAAACACGGGTTTTCTCTCCTTTCTCGCTTGTAAAACAATGTAGATTTGTTGGGCGGCTACAGAAAGTACTGGCAGCTCGATTCGATTGAATTCGTCGAAGCACCCCCAAGTCCCAGATTGTGCCAAACCCTGTGAAAGCACAGATTTGCACCTCGGAAACATGCACTAATAAAACTCCCCAATATGAACCTTAAAAATTCGGCCCAATCCTCTAAAGTCCATTTGATCGGAGCAGTTAAACACAACGACAAACTTTCCTAATGTTCTCCCCATGTCTTTGGTTGTCTCGGTTTTTCCGGTACCTGCTGGACCTGCTGGCGCTCCGCCCATGTTAATCCCTAATAAATACGTCTTTAACGTCTTTGTGGCCCAAAATATTGTTTAAGGCTTACAAATAGCTTGAGCCAGGGTAATGTAGCATCTATCCGTTAAAGGAGTGATGGCCAGCCGCTCGGTAATGCCTAAATACTCATTCTGGTAAAGGAAGATCACATCTGTTATCTTGACCAAGACATCGTCGTTTTCATCGTTGTAGTAAAATCTGCACTGAGCCTGCCATTCAAAGTCCAGAATGTTCCTAACTCTCAGTTTGCAGATGTTATCAAAAATGTCCCTAAAACCGCAGCCAAATGAGTGAAAATCCTCAATCACTTTCCAACTCTTGCCGTTGATGGACATGAATTGTGACCATAGTTTCGTAATGAGTCCGCTGCATTTTGGTCAAATCCTTGGAAGTGAGATCGATGAGACTGTTTAAAAGGTCCAGGAATCGTTGATTGGTAAGCTTCATGATAAGTTTGTCAACTCTGGCTCGTCGAATGGCCACCTCGGCCTCCTTAGTCCAAAGGGTCTGGATTCCAACCAGTCCAGCCTGAATAAGAAAATATTTTTAAAGTTTTCTCTTGGTGGCACGATTAGCAACGGCAACCAACACCTCTATTCCATTGGTTATTACCTGACCGCAAAACGTGACAAATCCGGCAATGAAGTCATAGTCTGGATCCACAAAACATTGCGCCTGAGCCGCAATAACTCCTTTGACAGTATCTCGCACTGTGGCTAGAAGATTGTTTAACCAAAACTCCACCCCACCTGTGCAAACCACCGATTTTTCAAAGAGAACTTTTTCTCCCAAGCTGGAGTTCATCGCAGTGATGGCATCAGTTTGCTTCTCATCAAAGTCCACCTGGAAGCAACTTTAAACTGTTGAACTTTTTCGCATATTGCGGAATAGTAATGAGATTAGCATGACCAAACCAAGACTTCCATGGTTTTCGTTGCCTTTTTTGCAAGACAAAAACCAGTCTTTCTCATCCACATTGCCGAACTTACGGTGAAAACCGCATCGAATAAACTTGGCAAATGGGCCTGGATGGAAGTGGGATCAGAGCTCTGTCCCAGAATTTCAAGCAGCACTGGATCGGATATGAAGAAGAACCGGGGAAAGCACAGTCGTTTGGATTCTGGAAAAGTAAAAAATTGGTTCCTAGATAAAAAATAGGTTCCCTCAGACCCCGCATTTTCTACTCATTAGAAATGTTACCTAAATACCCAGTCAAACTCTTCTGGCAAGTTTCCAGTTGTTCCAATAAATGTGGCAAAAGCTGCCCCATTGTTTCGTCTCCAGTGCAACATTCTACAGCGTTGGGAATTTCATGTGCTCTCATCATTATTTTGATCCAGGATTTGTCGATGTTCTGAAAAAAGATTTGGGAACTTAATAGAAAGCAAGATTAAGGTTGAATTACAGTGAATCTCTTGGCTTCTTGCGGCAATTGCTTGGCGATATCGCCGCCTACGAAAACGGCTTCTAGATAGACCCAGAGATTTTGCACAATCAGCCACTTTTCCAGAATTTCCGAGGTGGTCACCAGCTTGTGCACCCACAATTGGATGTCTTTTTTGAAGGGCGCATTATACCTAGGAGACGTCGAAAATTGAATGGCAAACTTAAAAACATCCCGCATGCCTACCTGTTGCTCAACAGCGAATTCATCACCATCAAGCTGTCCTCCAAAGTGGTGATAATTTCTCCAGTCTCTGTTCCTTTGAGCAGCAACTCTCCTCGGGTCTTGAAGTTGCCAAAGGACAGTTCCACTATGGCCCAATCGGCGATCACCTGCTTCAGCTTCGCTTCAATGTCCTTTTCTTCAATGGAATACACCGTTAAAGGCTGCGTTGCTAGTCTCAATGATTAATAGGAAACCTTTGACTGCACTGATGCAAATATCCTCAACATCGTCCTTGTATTTGAGCAGCGGCGCCTCCATGACGCTCCTCAAAGTGAACGTGGGGCTTTCAACATCGAAAAGGTAGCCGGTCAAATTGGCCATCCGCTTCCAGTGTCTGTCTTTCATTGCCTGCAATTTGACTGTTTGAATTTTGCCCTTTTGCCCGCTGTTCCTCATTCGCCACCTTATTGGCCATCATTTCCAGCAATGGACACGTTTCGCTGAAGTCGTCAATTTTCTTCTTCAAGTCGATGAAGGCCGGCCAGTCTTTCATGGCTTTAGGCAGCTTGCGGCACCTAAAAACGTGGGAGACAATTTTTGATAATTTCACAATTCTTCGGGGTTCATTGCCTGTTCTGGAACTCCTGGAGCTCGGCAAATATGACTTCGGTATCGACGTCGCTCCACAGGATATCGAAGTAGCCGTCGATGCTATGATTGACGGCCAAGTAGAGTCCATATAGTTTATTTAGCAGAGTAAATTCCTTCTTTCTTTGATGCAGAATTGGGTAGTCGTTTACTTCCAGCCTGTTACGAGTAGAAAAGATCACACAAAAATAGGGACGTCGTCTCGTTTCTGACGGAGCAAAGCCCTAAATATTTGGTTTGCTTCAAACACACCCAAACAATTTCTCGCCACTGCTGTACATCTCAAACTTCCTCCACAACTCATCAAAACGATCCTGGAAAAGCAGCACTCGATCACTGGCCTCTCTGGCACTCAAACCGGGAACCATCGGGCCTTTCTCTTCAAAGTCCTTGTCAAAGGCCTCCACTTCTTCTTTAAAGTTGGCTACGCCAGCAGTAAGTTCTTCCAATAAGGGCCCTTGAACCGTACAGATGTCTTCCTGAACAGCCTTGGACTGACATGGAAGAGAAAATGGCAAATTGAGCGAATGTTGTTGCATTGACGAAGCCATCACCCACGTGATTGACCATGCTTTGGAAGTTGAATCGCAGACTTTCCACGCGCTCAATATCCTCTTTTGGTGTGTCGATTTTGAACTTGCCGAACGTGCTGTAGGCTTCTTCCATTAGGCTCAAGTCCAGGTCCATTTCGATAAAGTTTTCGCGGATTATTTCCAGGCAGTTCATGGCATTTCTGTGGATAAGGAACCGATCAAGGGCTTTGAGATAGATTTGAAGAGCCGAGTCCCACCTGCAATCATCTAAGTCTTTGATGGGCTTGTTGAGGATCTTTTCCTGCGTTTTGATAAACTCCACCATGTTGGTGAGCTTTTTCTTGTAGCGTTCGCTAAGGTTTTTGCCCATGATGTGCTTCCATGCTTCCGATTCAATTAGAAAGGCTAGCTTAATGTCAGCTGGAAGAGATCGTTTAGGAAGCTCAAAAATGAGCTAAAATTCCCAGTTAAATACCCAAAGTGATTCTTATTGCGCCAACATCATGTCTTTCGGGAAGTTGCCGGATCGCCTCCGCTCGGGCATCGTATTCGGAGAATCTTTCAGCAATCTCCACAATAAGAGGATCTTTCTCGCAGAATTCATCAATTATCTTATCTCTGTCCTCGACCCATAAGTATTTCCATTCCAGGTATGTCTGTAATCGGAATTCGACTTTAAAAATATTCCAAAGATCCGGAAGCCCTCACATCCAGTAAACTGGTCACATCGGGGCTCAAAAGGTACATTACTCCTTGAAGGCTCATATACACTCTAACAATTTCCTTATTTTCACTCACTGACTTGTAGTAGTTTTGATTTTGAATCCGCAGAACTTCCTCTGAAATTTTTTAAAGTGTAAAACTGCAGTTCCCTCAAACATCTTCTGGAGTTTTACCTCCTTTCAGAGCAGTTTTTATCTCCCGCTGGCCCCACAACGGTATGTACTTGTTGATATCGAGAATATTTTGCAAAACCTGCGAAAAATGGTTCTGAATATCGTCCAGATTCGGACTGATTGTGGCCAGCGGGATTTGCAGAATCATTGAGGTGCACATCAACGGTATTTCCTCTCCAATACTAAAACCATCGCGTTCAACTGGCAATTGCTTCAACTGGAATCTTACCTGGTGGCTCGAAGTTTCACTTTTTCCAAGGAAAACTTCGTGGCTTTGATCAGCGCATCGGTAAGCTTCATATTGAAGTAAGCGAACATTTCGATGCAGTCGTTGTGTATGTTTGTGAGATCCAGAGGGAAATTCCTGTCAATTTCCTTGAACGCTTTGGAAAGCAAGATTAAAACGGAGTTTTTTCGGAAAAGTCCCACGCTTACCTGCATCAGCTGAGGTAAGCAACCGCGAAGTGGATCCGATAGGTTTCACCGCCCTTACAGGATCCAGCCAATTATATTTGTTTTCCTGCAACTCTGGCTGCTCTATGACGCTCAAGAATTTGTCAATGAGCTCCTTAACACATCTCTCGATTGTTATGGATTTGAGTTTCAGCTCTTTTACTGGAAATAATTGAATTTAGTACTGGAAGTAAATGAAAGCTTGTGAGAGCAGCCCTTACTAATTTCCTGTCCATATTTGATGTTTTCCTGCAAAAACTCACTGGGAGCGATCGGTTCGTTAGGCAGGAAGACCAAACAAGTCATTGCTATCGTTTCTAAAACCTCGTCAATTCTTGCCTCTTTCATATCTCTCACCTGTTTGCAATAAAGTGCTCAACAAAATGATCGTTACGCTCCAAATTTGCCCTAACTTTGCTAACTTGCTTTTTGCTAGTGAAAAATTCATAAAGTTGATTTCAAATTTTACAATTTTGCGCATTTCAAAACCATTGCCAATTATGTGCTCAATAGTATTATCTATTTAAAGTTTATTGTTAGATTGAAAGAGAAAGTGATTGTGACTGTTGAGGCTGCACAAAATGCTCTTCAAAGGGTGTAAAGTTGATTGAAATATTCACCCAGATTTGGCTTCCAAAAGTTAAAAAATTTAGGTAATGACGATTTATCAATTTCCAGAATACTTCCCGGCTTTTAAAAGTGTTTTTGCGCTCTCTTATTTAAAAATTCGTCACTTATAAACTGAGGTTAGTAGAAATTTGAAATTTTCGCTATTTTTAGAAGACACTTGGCTTTAAACATCTTGAAAGTTTCCTAGAAATTTCACGGAATCATGAACGTTTTTACTCGAGGTTATTCCCTTAGAAAATTCGTACCTTCCAAACTAATGCAAGCAGCACTTTAAAATTTCCACAATCTTTAAAGCAAATGTGGCTCTAATGATTGCCGAAGTTTCATAAAAATCGCCCTGAATCCTGATTTTTACCAGCTTGGTATTTACCACGCTTAAAATAAAATGGATGTTATTACGAAACTGTGCCCTTTCCTTTAAAAATTTGAATCATCCAAACTAAAACCGCTGGAAATTTCAAATTTTTATAATCTTTCAAAGACACTTCGCTCTAACAATCCTCAAAGTTTTCGAAAAATCACCGGGAATACTAATTTTTGTCAGCTTGATAAATACCAGCCTCAAATTGTATGTTTTATTCAGCAGGGCACTACCTTTTTGGAAATTCGCATTTTTCAAACTAATGCCAGAAGAAATTTCAAAATTTGACCATCGCCATCTTTAAAAGACACTTGACCTTCAACATTTCGAAAGTTTCATGAAAATCATCTAGAATCCTGAATTTTTCCAGCTTGGTAAATACAAGTTTCAAACATGGATTTAACTCAACTGCGCCATTTACTTTAAAAATTCGCACCTGCCATACCAAAGCCAGTAGGAACTTTAAATTTTCAACATCTTTAAACGACACTTCACTCTAAAGATCCTGAATGGTTTATAAAAATCGTTCAGATTTCTAATTTTTTTAAGCCTGGTTAATAGCAGTCTCAAAGCGGGTGTTTCTACTCAACTGCGCCCTCATCTTGAAAAATTCGTATTTTGCAAACTAAAGACAGTAGCAATTTTCAGCATCTTTAAAAGAAGCTCAAGTTTAACGATTCCAGTAGTTTCAGCGAAATCGCAGTAAATTCCGATTTTTGCCAGCTTGGTTAATACCAGTTTCAAGATAAATGTTTTAATTCAACTGCGCCTCTCCTTAAAAAATCGTATCTTTCGAACTAAAGCCAGTAGCAACTTGAAATATTCAATATCTTTAAACAACACTTCAATCTAAGGATCCTGGGTAGTCTATAGAAATCGTTCAGATTTCTAATTTGTTCGAGCCTGGTTAATCCCAGTCTCAAAGTGCATGTTTTTACTCAACACTCTCACTCCTTTAAAAATGCATATCGCTCAAACTAAAGCGAGTAGCAATTTGAAATTTTTAGCATATTTAGAAGACATTTGTCTCTGGAAATTCGAGAAGTTTCAGGAAAATCTCACTAAAGGCTGATTTTTTCTAGGTTGGTTAATACCAGTCTCAAAATGGATGTTTTTCCTAAAGTGCGCCCTCTCCTTTAAAAATTCGGATATTCCAAAGCAAGCTAAAGATACTAGCAACTTGAAAATTTGAACAGCTTTAAACGACACATTACCCTAAAGATCCTGACGGTTTCATCAAAATCGTTAAGAATTGCGATTTTTTCCAGTCCAAGGTAATACCACTAACCCAAACTAACCCAAACTAGATGCTTTGGCTCAACTGCGCCCTCTTCTTTAAAAATTGGTATCTTTCAAGTTAAAGCTCGAATCAATTTTAAATTTTCCTCGCCTCGAAAGATTCTGAAAGTTTTATTAAAATAGCCTTAAATTCTGATTTTTGTCACCTTAGTAAAAACTACTATTAAAATTGATGCTTTTACTCAACTACGCCCTATGCTTTAATAATTCGTATCTTCCAAACCTAGTGGCAATTCGAAAACGTCACCATCTTTAAAATAAACTGGGCTCTAAATATGTGAAAAATTGCTGAAAAATCGCCTTGGATCCTGATTTTTGCCCGCTGGATAAATCTGACTCAAAATAAATGTTTTACTTAACTGGGTAATTCTTTAAACATTCGTATTTTTCGATCTAAAGTCAGTAGCAATTTGAAATTATCACCCTCTTTAAAAGATACTCGACTCTAAATAACCTGACAGTTTCAGAAAAAGCGACAAACAATGCTGAATGACTCAAACTTACTTCTTTCACAAACATTTCAATATAGTCGAGTACTTCAGTAACATCCTTGCAGAACTCGGGAATTTTCGTCGAGGTCCACGTAACAGTGGAAAAACCTGGCATGAAAATGTTTTCCATTTTCAGCAGCTGTACCCGCATCATGGGCAGGAACAGTTGAGGAATTGTGGATCGTGTTCTGTCGTTGCGTTGGATTAGCGCCTTAACTATTTCGCAGGAGTTTAGAAGCTTGTCTTTGCAAAACACTAGAACCTGGCCCACATCTGGAACCTCTATGGAACCAATACAGGAGTTATATCGAGAGTTGAAAATTAGCCCTAGCTATTACCTAAGTCAAGTTTGTACATGTACTCGGCTTCGCGGATAACTTCGGAAATGTATGGATGGAAGTTGACAAGATACCGCCTGGTTTTCTCATCCTTGGTCATAATTGGCTTGATTAAGCAAATCTTGACCTGAGGAGTAAGTCTCAGTTAGTTGCAATATTTTTAGGTAACAGGCCCTTACTTGTCCGGCATAATCAAACCAAGCGTCATGATAAATATTCTCATAGTGCACGAAGCACAAGGACATGGCGTTGAACAGCTGAATGCACTTTTGCACTTTTCTATGCTGCATTACCTTGAAAAAATGGAAGCCAAGAATACAGCCTTTGTTGGCAAAACTAACTAACTTTTGTTTTGGTTTTAAAAACCTCCATCGGTTCGGTTATGCGGGAATAGTACTGACGAATCCAGCAAATTCTTCCACTGACTGGTGGCATATTGCGGGGAACCACCGGCGATTGCCGACCTTCATTATACCTGTCTCTCAGCTTTTCTATTTCATATTGGAACAACATCATCGCTTCCAGGTATCTTTCCTCCAAATGCAGACACTCCAAGTTGAGCTTCTCAAATCTGAACATTTCCAATGGAAACTCATCTAAGGAAATTCAGTGAGACACCATCTACCTCTTAAGGAGTCGTAGAATGTTGTCAACATCGGTCATTTTTTCAAGCAAAGCCCCCACAAACTCCTCCAACTCCCATTCGGTGTCGACAACGTTCTGCTTGAACTGATTATAGTCCTTCTCAAAGTACGGCAACCGATGATTCAAAGCGTCGTATTTTTGCGACGAAATGTTCTTGTAAAAGTCCACGAATTTCTTCGCGTACACATCAATGTCCTCGATGGTGCTGGCTTGTAAAATCGAGTATTTTGTGGTAGTTTGCAATACGTAAACTATCTGGAAAATTATTTTTTTGATTATTCAATTTGCAAAACATTGTCAGTTTTTCGAAAACGTTCCAATCTCGACAATGCAGTTCATACATTGCCACTTTGGCCTTACCTGTTCGCATCGTTTTTTGAACGTTTCAAATTTCCCAAAAATGAAACTCTCCGAACACTCAAAAGGTTTTTCACCCTCATCCTCCATCTGCTTCTTGGTGCGTCTAAAGCACTGGTAGTACTTCAGGTACACGTCCAGACATGTCTGCAAAGTGCCCAACATACGTTGATTTATCAGGATCGAAAACGCTCAAATCAGTTTACTTTGATCTTGTCCAGGACCACAGCTTTCGGTTGGTTCCACACCGTTCTGGTGCCTTCACAATCCAAATAATCCCGACACTTTTTGATGATCTGATTGGAGACTTTCACTAAAATCGCTGTAACGTTGCCGGTACTATTGTAGTACCGTGACGTGGTGAAGACCATTCGAATAGCGTGAAGCAAAGGAGGAATGTGTGTAACCAGTTGAGGAGGCTCCAACCGATAGAAAGGCTCCCAGTACTTCTCCATGGAGTAGAGGTACTTTAGGTTGTCGGAACATTCATTGCGAGTATCGTAGACTGAATCCACGTGTTTTTTCCATATCTGGGAATTGGGGTTTAGGAAATAAGGCGTGGCAAAGCCAGACGGGCACCTTCAAAATCACTGATCGCGAGCAGGAGCCGAGGAACGTTATAAATAAGTTGCTGTCGTCTTTTTCCAAAAAATCCACTATGCTAGTGAATCGAGCCAGTTGTCTTCGCCAGTACTCCACTTCAACGTTGGGCCCGACAAACTCATTTTCTCTTCGGATTTGATTGTACTGCACCAAACACTGAAGAACAGCGAAATTAAAAATTTAGGTTGAGATTGAGAATCTCTTGTACCCGTTCAATTAGCTTGTGCCAAACGCGAACTTGGCTTTCGATTTTTTGGATCATTTGTGCGTTGAAGTACAGTTTAGACCGTCGGTCTTCGTCGGATAGTACTTCGAGCAGATCAGGGTCCATGTTGAAGATCACGATTCCTTCCAAGTCCAGTTTGGTTTCTGAAATTCACTCTAATCTTCGAAAGGGCCGTTGTATAGAAATCGTTTGAATAGAAGAAGAGTTAAAATTCTGTTTTTTGAAGTATTAGTAACTACTCGGGTGGCTTACTGTTGAGAAACTCGACAAAGGCCGCCCAATCTCCCATAAAGTTCAATTTTTGCATCATGCCCATTGCGGTTTTGGGAAGATCGCCCCATTCTTTCGAGAGCTCTAAGGGCGATTTGATCAGTTGGGAGAAAATATCGAATGCTATTGAGGCCACATTTCCCTTGCCTTGCTCCATGTCGATTTGAACAAAGCAGATTTCCTAAATAATGAAAATTATAACGCCAGTTGTACGGTGTTTGAAAAACCCACATCGTTGATGTTCCGCAATTCCAAGGCAATATTTTTCGTTTTGAACACCGCAACGGCCCGCTCAACCAGAGCCGGCCGAACTCCTTTTGTGACAAAGATGCGCTTAATCGGCGCTTTTAGAGCTGGATTAAATCGCCCAGTTTCTACGAAACAAATTCTAATTTTTCCCAGTTCTACTGAGTTTTTCATTTTTATGTACCCAATGCGTAAATGCCTCCGTCTTGATAGAAAAATAGCAGGCTCTTGGTGCCGCCTTTTTCCAACAAGGAGTTAAGCAACTGAATGAAACTGTCTTCATCGGCCGCACCTTCTAAAACATCATTGGCCTCAATGCCTAAATAATTAGCCACCATGTCGCAGATATGTCTTTGAGGGAGCTGCAATTCTTGAAATCTTGCATATCGCTGTTCTTTGAATCTTGCCTAAAACCAATTTCAGCCCAATCAGGTTCAATTTCGAGTCACAAAAGCGCTTCTTCAAGTGGAATGCTGATGGGTTCTGAGCATATACCTGTTTATCCCTGAGACTCTCTTGCATGGCCAGAAGCGTGGTGCTGGTTCTAGGTTTTCCTCTAGATACCGCTTTGGAAATATTCAACAAGTTGCTAACGTCTTCCTTAGTCACGGACGTGCGCGGTGATGATGGTTCTCCCATTTCTACAGTTATTTTTTCTATATCTTTTGCAGTCTATCTAATTTTACTTTTTAGTGCTCTTGCTTAAGAAGCGAAATTAGAAGATGACAAAATTGACATCTACTAGTGGCCACTTCGCATTTGCTCAGGTAAAATTAATGTTTTACAAAATGGTTCAGAAGAACCCTCCTTTATATTGAGGGTTTGTGGTCACGAGAAATGTTGTAAATGGAGAAATCCAAACTTTTTTATTTTTATGAAAAAATGTACGTTATTTTCTTGAAAATTTCGGATAAACTGTAGAACGACGTATTTCCGGAAGAAGGTAAATTTTCAGTTTGTAAATAACAATTCCGTTATACAGGGTGTCCCGTAAGCACATGATCAAAAAGGTACTCCGATATTCTTTGGATTAAAAGAAGACCATCTGACCAAACTCTGCTATTGATGGTCAAAGTTCTTCAAAATTTTATCTTTTTTGGAATATCGGGAGAATGGTACGATGTATTTTCGTGAAACTGGTTGTGAATTTGTTCTTATGTAAGACTCATATTTTGATGAAACAATCGAGTTTTTCCGTTTTGGACAAGTGGTGAATTCTTGAGTGTCGTGGTACAAAAACTACCAGAACTTTTTATTTGGTGGATGTAAGCTTGGGTAAGTCAGTGAATTTTCAGGGGTTGGCGCAGTGCTGGGCAAATGGCTTGGTGCGCCAATCCAACGCACCGGCGCAGTAACTCAGTTTCGTGGACTTTTTTTTACTTTTCTTAGATTTATTTTAAAGGCCATTTATTAATAATATTTTTAAAATGTTTTCAAATTTTCCAGTTTTAGTCAAGTTACTCTTTCTTCTGAATGTTCAATTTTTTAAAGTTTCACTTAAAAATGCTGACAATCTTAAGGTAGTTTCCGCGAAAAATTATTAAATAAATTTCGAATCCTTCGTGGCTTTGTAACAGTTTTGAAATCCCTCTCCAGCTTCGAATTTGGAACAAACATCAAACAAATTATTTGGAAATCTCGTCACCTCCATTCCTCTGAAGACTAGAATTTGTTAATTTTTTTTTTTTTAAGTTTTGACTGAATTTTTTTTCCTTTACTTTCTATTCAAAAACGCTCTATTTCGTAGAGTTTCACTTAAAAATACTGACGATCTGGATGACTTTTATGCCAAAAATAACAAGATAAATTTATAGCTAATAATTGTTAAGTGGCAAGAAAATAGAAGTATTTTTTTTCGCAAAATCTATGAATGATACATGATTTTACAAAGATCACAACATTGTGAATAAATTATTAGTGCATCAACCAAAAAAAAATGAGATGATTTCATCCACCAAATAAAAAACTCTGATCGTTTTTATACCACGACACTCACGAATGTCCAAAACGGATAAACTCGATTGTTTTATCAAAATATTAGTCTTACATAAGAGCAAATTCACAGCGAGTTTCACTAAAATAAATCGAACTATTCTCCCGATATAATCAAAAAAGACAATTTTTCTGAAGAACTTTGACCATCAATAGCATAGGAGCGAGACATTTTTTGTTAATAAAAGTTAGGTCAGATCATCTTTTTTTGATGCAAAGAATATCGCAGTATCATTTTCATAATATGCTTACGGGACACACACACACCCTGTACACCGTAATGTATAATTCATAAAAAAAATATTCTTCGTTTACAAGTAGTGTTGATAAAATGGTTGTTTTTGTGCAAGAAATCAAGACGAATTGTAAAGGTTGAAGTGAAATTTCAGAGTCACCAGTTAGTTTTTTTTTTGCCGGAAAATTAATATTTTATTAAAAAGCGGGTCCAGATCGGTTAAGGCTGGACTAAGGCGACTAGAACCATTTGGTTCAACAGTTTCTGATGATGAGTTTCCAAAAACTGCCGCCATGAATTAATGAAAATGTGCGTTTCTATTCAGTTTAAAGATTTTTTCGTTTAAAATCCAACTTTTCCCGTAGAACGTCTTTCTAAAATAAGTGGAGAAAACACGCCAAACAATGCCTCTGAATAAGAAGCAAAAAATAAATAACTCAAAGGAAAATCTTTGTAGCAAGCTAAAAGCATTGTAATAATCAGACAATAATTTTAAAATAACTCTTTAAATAAGCTCAGGAAAAAATGTGAATAATTTGATCAAATTTCGGTTCTTTCAATATTTTTTGCTCGCCATTTTCTCAAGAATTAAATTGAGCAAATTTTGCCGAATTGTTTAAGATTTATAAAGTCGAGTGAATCCATTTTATGGCAGATTGAAGTTTACCGTTGAAAAATAGAATATACAAACCACGGCGCCATTTGTATATAATTCCTATTTTAATTTAAATCCCCCATTCAGAACTTCAGAAAAAAAATTCTGAAATTTCATGAGTCTGCTTTCATGCTTTCCTGTGTATAAAAATACGATCCGAAATCAAACGCATTTTGAACAACACAATAAAGCGAATTTATTTGCAAAGAAAAATTAGATATTCATGTGATTATCAATTTGGCTCCGTAGTAGTAACAAAGGGCTGATAGGGCTGCTGGCTGGCCGCAGTCTGTTGATCGGACTGGGACTTGTTGCCATGCCAGTTACAAGTGATGAAATTCAAGAGCAGCTGCACAATACTGTTCAGAATACCTGAAAATATTAATTAGTTCACATACAGCCTTTCCTACAATGCCAACACCGCGTATACCTGAGCAAACATAAACTCCGCCCACAATGGAGCAGAGCCTGGCTAGGAACATGCCCAGATGATCCCGTTCTTGACTCACAGTCACTCTCAGCGCCGACATGTCGTATTTAAAGTAGATAGCAGGCGTTCCATGACTGCCTTTATTATGGTCAATCGGCCGGGTCAGCTCTTTTACACTATACTGATAAGTACTGATGGTATACATGAAGGTATTCACTGTCGTAGGCACAATTTCAATGAAGTAGTTCACTACGGTCATTGGGTCCGGCAGTATTAATTCGTCACCTGAAAATAATGATTATATAGTGGCAATGTTTATATAGTGTGGCTTTCCGGATCATTACCTTCTAAAGGATGTACAATGCCAGGGCTGGAATGTCCAAAGCTAAACCTATTAATGCGATGAGTAAAGTTGTACTCTCCCTCGGAAATAAGGGTTCTGAACTGCTGATATCCAAGTCCGAACATGTAACGTTTTGCTCCAGAAATAAGGAAATTCCCTGCCACTTTATTCAAACCTAAAGTTCCATAGATTCGGCAAGCGTCATGAGGGCGGCTCGGAGTATGGTCTCGAGGCGGTAGATCGCCGAACTGAGTGGAAAAACTGTTTTTCCACAGCAAATCCTGCCAAATGATCGGCTATAAAATTGCCACGTCTGAACATTGAACAATTGCACCTTTATCGCATGATACTCCTCTCTGAGGTACGAATTAAAGTGCTTCTTGTGCTCAAAGTGCACCTTTTGGTTGTCTGAGAGTTCGAACCATGTGTCGTCCTGCTTAAGAGTGCCGAATTTGTAGGTGTTCTGATTTGTTGAGTCCAACACATCAGTCCCAAGTTCTAAAGGGGAATAAATCGCAGGTACATACACAGGCCAAATGTTTGAGTCTTACTTGAGCAAGGCATTGCAACTGTTATGTCTATGTTCATGTCGAGTTTGTCCTCTAATTGCACGTCCGGGGAGAATTTGAACACGAATTTGCTATTCAGATAGTAGCTGATCTCTGAGTACACTAACCAGCCAATTATCAAAAAGCTGATGATAGAAACTGTGAATAAAAGACTGGTTGAAGTAGTAAAAGACGTCCAGGAGAATGTGGTCTAATAAGTATTTAATTTTTTCATATTCTAGGATTAGCTATACATATGAATGAAGGTGAAGTCTTACATGTGCCGCCAACCGAAGAAGTCATTTTATAGGGGTCTTCCACTTTAGGGAAAATGTCCATTTTCTTCACCCTGTTTAGTCGAGAGCCCCTGAACCTGGGAATTGATACTACCTCTTTTTCCATTTTTCCAGCTTTTTTTAGTTTTATCTAGTAAGAAATCGTATGTTGATACTAAATAAAAATTTTAATATTTTGATATGAATTAGGCCACAATTATTATTAATGTCGTTTAAATGTCCTGTATCTTGTTTTTGAACGAGAAAAATTGTAATATAAATTGCAATTACAACAGGTAAAACAACAACAACACGAAGCTGACATAACCCTAATTCAATAACTTTTTGACGTCTTTGAAGGGGTTGAAAAAGACGGGATCTTAGACAAGGAAAGAGCTGGTCTATTGTAAGAGGAAGAGAACAAGTACCTATTCGTTCATAAACAAAGTGACAACTACGGATAAGTATGTTCGGCGCCACCTAACGATTTATAAACCACTACAGAAAAAGAGGTCCGAGACACAAAATATCCCCCCTGGAGTATGTTCTGTGGTCCGAGAAGGATATAAAGCTAGTATGGGCAACTGTTGAACAAATTTAATCTTACTGGTAACTGTAACATGAATTAAGGTTAATTGCTATCTTATGGCTCAGTCACTTTTTCGATATTTGTCAATTTTTATTTTTTAAAACAGTGAAACTCCTCAATGCATTTTCATTTGTATTGATTAAAAAAGTAAAACTAATACATTTTATCTCTATTTTTATGTTCGTCTCTCTTTGTGAGACTCTCTCAACTCTTTGACGCAAGTGACAACAGCCATAAAATATCCCCCTTAGAATGGTAACTAAATAGGGCTAAGTTGATATGATCCCTGGACGCGGGGCGCCGCTTGATGGGGCGATATGTTGTATCTGTCCCAGTAAAGGCGAACACTGTAGTATACATAATAGGAACAAATATATATTTTTTTTTTTAAGAACATAGCAGTAGGAAGTTTGTAAACTTAGCTGATAATAAATATGTTCACATTTTTAAGAAGAGCAAAAGTCGCAAAAAATATGACAGTAACTGAAATACTAACGTATTTATTAGAATATTATCATAAGTTCGCCTTTATTGACCGAAAATATATACTTGCTAGGTTGATAACTGTAAGTAACTTACCAGGTTGATAACTGATAAATTTTGGTGAATGCAATCAGAAATAAAATATCAGATAAATGACTCATATTCTAACAGTTTCTCGCGCGTCACCGTCAGGGCCGCTAAACGTATATTCAAAATTTATCAATTCAGTTTCAATTCTAAGGGGGATGTTCTGTGACAACATCTATTTAGGTTAGGTTAATAAGAATCGTAAACATTCCATACACATACCCTAACGGAAAAACCTGTTTAAAAAACGAAATATGTATGAAATGTGGCTCAGAAATTAGTTCAAGTCAAAGTGAAAAGGCTTGTGTGTGTGTCCTTACTTTGGTAAGGACACGATTATTTAAGTACCTAGCATAACAAGCATATTCAATAATGGATAAAAGTCTAGATAAGAGTTCAGTTTCCCAAAAGATTTTTGAAACTACACGAGATACAGAACGACTGAAACAAGAACTACAGTCCTTAATAGCTGCAGGCCTACGGGGTCGAACTTCCCCACCTCTTGCAACTTCCTACCAGAATGAACCTTTAGAAAGTACAAACAAGGTCCAGATTTTAAAGAGTTTCGACCCCAAACACTCTCAGCATGTTAAAAAGGCAGTGGAAAAACCAAGTCCCCGTTTTAAACCTTCTAGTGCTCTTCCAAATAGTTCCCCGAAAAAGCAAAGAACCTACAATGTGGATGAAGCAAGGGAATATCTACATAATCAAAGAAAAAAACGAGCTGAAGAGTTGAGAAGTCAAAAAGCCGGTTCTAAAGTGTCCATTGACTTAAAAAAGGAAAAACTTAAACAACTCCAAGAAAAAGCCAATGAATTAGTTAGGAAAAACGTCCAAGCTAAGCGGTCGAGATCCAAGTCCAGAGAACCTGCTATAGCGAGATCCAGATCGGCAACTGTGCAACAGCCTTCTGCCAAATCGAAAAAACCCCTGGAGGAAAGTGTTATCTTAGGGTTTAATTGTGGTGCAAGTTCCGTTAGTGTGCGACCGGCAACTCATTTAGGCTTCCCGAAGAGCAATTCGATCAGAAATGCGATTTCTCTCAGCAACATCAACAGTGAAACAAGACACTTGGGAACTGTTCAAAGCCCACATTTGCAAACTCCGGCTGAAGTAAACTATGGAACATCTACAACATTCAACCACAATTTAACATGTGAGTTACCTGTTTACTTAAAGCCACATTTTATTTTAAAATTAACAAAAAAATGGTAATTTAACATACATTCTTCGGCTTTAGTTTTCTGCTATTAAGTCCGCAACAAACGCATCCCCAATACTTTGCAAATAATCATTAATCCTGAGTTCCATTTGATTTATTTAATTTAAAATAAACTTACCCAACATTAGCTGATAAAACGTATTTGCCAAAACTATAGGCTTTTAGAAAGAAATCCTTATTATTCCAGCAAACTTTCAAAGCCAAGCTTCAAAATCAGCAGGACGACCGCTTGAAACAGTGCAATCTTTGAGCGGAAACTCAGAAATACCGTTATCTTCAAAGAGAAAAAATCAGGAGAAAATGGTACTAAATCCTACAGAAAAAATACCCAAATTAAGAGAGCCAGAAAAGGTGACTTCTCCCTGGCTAAAAGTACCCGATTCCGCTTTCTCCAAACTCATTAGTTCTTATGCAAACTCAACAGGAGGCTCATTTCCTTCAAACAAAGTACTGACTGAGGAAAAAACCGCAGATGAAATTCATCCGCAACAAAGAGAGCCAGCAATGAGCAAGGTAACCCCTCACTGGCTAAAGGAACAACCTGATGGGGATCCTTACAACTTGATTAATACTATTAAGAGGCGTTGTCAATTGGATTACGGGGTAACTACAGCGAATAAACCGTCTGTAGTCGATGTGGGAGTTCAAAGCAACATCGATGCAGCTCAGAACACGAACAGCACAAGCAGCAAATCTGAACTAAACTCTTTCAAGTCCCACCAGCATCTCAACTTGGCTCGGAAAACTACCAGCCATTTGGAACTACCTGCGTTCAAAGATGGTCCCACCCTGACAAAACCTTCGCATTATTCTTCAGAAAACGAGTCTGATACTTCGAGAAACATTCCGAGCATTTCCAGTGAAAGCGCTTTGTCATTGCCGCGTAACATTAACATAAGACAATCTTACGCCATTTGCCACCTTAAACCTCTAGAGGAGGCACCGCCTAATTTAGACCCGGAGAAAATCGAAGACATCAAGCTGAAAGTTTCCAAAGAAGTATCTTCAAGCTACTCAGATGTTTTCGATTCGAGCAGAGGCAGCAGGAGTTCCATTATATCCTTCAATAAATCTAAACGATCGCCCAATTCCATGAATATACGGCCATCGAACTCGAAGGAGAGGAAACCTCGAAAAATTTTTCAGCCAACACCAGAAGATCCCGTTGAGAAACCACTATTGTCGACAAGTTCAGAAGCAGTTGCTACAGGTACTGGAAGGCTGAACCTAATTTCTCGCTTTAATGTTGTAGTTTCTAGATGAAGAAACTCAAAGGAATAGATGGGTTCAACAAGGAGCGATGCCAAAGTCGAGTAGCTCCACAAGGTCCAAGTCGAGCTCAGTGAAGATCAGTTCGAAAAATCACAGCGGTGAAGGTTTGAACTGGAAAGGCGATACAATTTTGGTGTTTCATTACGTTAATTTTTTCAGATGTTGAGTCGAAGTCGATACCAGAAGCCATCTGTACAGTAACTTCAACTGATTGTTACCGACCTTCAGCTATAAGCGGTAAGAAGATTAATCGACACTATTTATATTTTATTAACGATTGTTGTTAATTTCCAGAGTCCAAAGACCCTTTGGAACCCAATTCTTCGATGGTCGGTTTGAAGTCGGATCCCCACATACCAAACAGCGAGCCCGCATCTGAGAAGCCCAACAGTCGGCTGTTAATGCAAAATATCACCTTACGATCAAGTAAAGCTGGTAACCGCGGTTCGGTAATATCACCGCAACTTGCTTATTTAATTTGCTAATTATTGATCAATTTAGGACGACAATGTACTGCACTTGAAGTTTGAAGCTGAAATTCATCTACTAACAGACTTCAACCAGACTATCCAACGCTTTTCGGAGATTGAGCGAACCTTTGAATCGCTGCGAGGTGATAATTGTTCACTCGTGGAGAAAACAGCGAGGAAACCAAATGTGCCTTTTGATATTCCGGCTATTATCGTTACCAGTACTGTTCCTTCAGACACCACCGAAGTTGAAACCAGCCTGGACAGGCCGAAAGAAATGTCCCAAAGTCAGGTTTCGAAAGTGAGCTCAACTACTGCGGATCAGACTGAAGCTTCCTACTTCAACACCGCTTTAATCGATCAGGAGAGTTGTTTGGATGGATCCATTGAGAAAAGTGAAACGTCTCTCTTTCAGCCGTCTGTCTTGGATTCCAACGAGTCATTGAATGGTACCTGGATCGGCGACGAGAACTTTGTTTTTAAAAACGTTGTCGGCATGTCAGTAAAAGTGGTAAGTTTTTCACAAAAAATTGTGAAATGTGATGAAAATTAAATGTTTTTTCCTAGTTTGATCAGTTGATAAAGGATGAAGACGCGCGCATTGAAAATTGGAGGAAAATGTTGAAAATCCGCGAGCAATTCCTTCTGGAGAGGACACGAGGCGAACTGCAATTTCTGGAAATGCAAAGAAAGTAAGTTGGATTTTAGATCGATTTGGAAAATAAAACTATGTACATTTTGCGCGTTTTAGGCAACTGATCGAAACCGGAAAGCTGGCCGAGGCGTCGTTGATCAAGAAGAAGCAAAGGGGCATTCTCCTGAAGCACCAAGAGGAGAGACACGAGATGCAAAGGTAAATTGTTCTGAATTGTCTATTAAAACACAATCTTATGGCGAACACAAGTCCATACATCCGAGTCGCTTTCTCAATTCTAATTAAAATACTTCGAACATTCCATACTAAAGTCTTATCTATGTCCCTGGTATTATCACCTGATTGTTTATATGAATATCGCGCTTCTTTGTTCAGTTTCGTGTGGAAACAAGCGGTCAAACTAAGCAAGTCCATATATTCGTTTGATAATCCGTAATGTTCCTCTTAATGAGCCCTAATAGGCTGCCACAAAACACCTTTTTAATTTCCAATGTAAGCTTTCACTATTCTTGCATTTTGCCAATTATTTCACTGTTTTTGTGCTTGAACTGAAAGGTGGAGACGTGCTTTATTGCGTTAAATAGTGATAATTTGTGAAAATCATCGAATCATAGTCTCGTTTATTGCGACGTGATTCGTCTCGGAACTGTTTGCTTTTAGTGAATGTTTCCTTAGGTACTACTCACAGTGTACGCTGTAGTATTTCAACATTTATTAATAACATGACTTCAAATGTAATTTATTATTATCATTGCTTTATATGCACGCTGAATTAGTATAAATCCCGTCAGAATTACGTAGTCGAAAAACATGTCAATTACAAATCTAAGCTTCGTTGAATTTTATTTAATTTAAATTTTATTTAAAAACAGACACCAGATACATTCTTGAAAGCATGTCGTTACGCGATGTCGCACCAAAGCAAATAAAAAATCTACTCAAGCTTATATTGATCAAATTTTATTCAGTACTTAACAGATAGTACGCGTCTTCCTCTGACGCGCTATTCCAACACTAATCATATCTACAATCAGCTTAAACCATACCGTTGAAATGTTTATAACATAATCTTAGATAACGAGTAATTTCCGTTGCTGTAGTTGGGTTGGCACGCGCCGTTATACAATTGTTCAATGCTGTTTCAGGTTGAAGCAAATGCAAAAGGAGGAATCTCAGAAGCGTAAAACTGTGCTCAGAAATGAGCGCAACTCGTTCAAGAAGGAGCTGCTGTCCACCAAGATGCTGGCCAAGCTGAAGCTGAGCGGTCGAGATCGAAAAGAGAGGACGTTTTCTGGACCCTTTAAAGTTATTCAAGTCACCACTTCTTCAGGCACTGATCAAGAGGTTTGGCTACGTTCAATTAAGCCTGGAAAGTACTTCATTGAAAGATCTTTTCAGATCAAAAGCATAACTCCTAGAACATCCAGAAGCCAATCTATAATCAACGAGGGTAATGAAGAATCGGATAATTTGAACACCGATTTGGAGGCTTTCGATTGGAATGCAAAACGGAAAGCAAACATGACTGCCGATGTTGTCTCTCGAATGCAAAAGTAAGTCAATGTTGTCCACTATTGTCTAAAGTTAGTCAAATAAATCGCGGATGGCTATAAAGGACCGCATTATCAGCAAACAGGATTCATGCACAAAGTTTAAACTGCAACTAATAAAGCTTAATTGCCTGAATTAATCGGGTTAGTCACTCTTGGAATTGAGCGATGTAATGAAATGGAACATTTTGCTGCTTTCATTAGTGTTGGGTCGCTGCTTGTATGGTCATTTGCCATTTTTTTTTAAACAAAACATTATCTAGTGGCTTTAGCTGTGTGTTTAAAACTTCAAAGCAACAGTTAAAGATGTTGAAAACTATTTTAATTGGTAGTGTTTGCTGGTTCTGCAGTAGCCAAACAGGTAGGTTTATTTGATTTTTATTAAGTTGAATATTTTACAATTAAATGCAAATTGTCGCTGTCGCAAGGCACTCAACCTTAAGTCGCCGCTTTGAGAATTGAGAACTTCCTCCTGCTTCCCAGTCCAGTGTTATGAAAATACCATCATTATCGACAGGAACTGCGGCGCTCTCCTAAAATAGATTCTGTCTGAAAATTATTCTTAGGCAAAATTAACCGTTCGATTTATGGAAAATCGCGGTCGATTGCCTCCACTCGCTTTGTTGGTATATACAGCACGAGTGTCTAAAATTGAACTGAATTGAATTTTGGATGCATTGCTTTGGATTAAGACTTATCTTGAGAACATTCTATTAGTGAAGAAGAACCATTGGTTTGCAGGGTATTTTAAAAGTAAATTTGAATTAAAAAAACACAAGCTAACTGTTTTGTCTGGGAAGCGTAGCCGAACTTACACAATACTATTCTTAGAGGTGGGTATGCGAAAAGTTGTTAAAACCGGGAGAGTTCTATCATATCGTTAACATTCTAGAGTTTGCATCATTAAATTTCACATCAAAGTGCTAATTTTAAGTCGGGGTCAAAAATGATTTGATGTGCGCGTTATTTTTAACGGTTTGTGACTCATTAACAATTGAGTCATTGAGACGTTGTAGTCGAAACTCCCAAACTTATTACAGATTATATGTGTATTTTATTTTCGCTCAAGTTTTCTCAATAATCAGCTTGGAAATGGAACAATTGGAGCAAAAACATTATAGACCGAGCGGCATTATTATCGTTCTTGATGTAAATTGTATATTGTTTATTTTTATAGAAATTTAAATCGGCCATTTGTTTTGCGGCAAATTTTACCTTCAAGGCGCAGTTAAATGGATTCGCTCACTAAACCTAGAGGCCCGTAACAATTGACAGTTTTAAGCATGTTTTTCGAAACCTGTTATAGTCTATACGGTCTAACTTGGACCAGCATGAAAACTAAATCTGGGTAACAATATGACCAATCAAATTCGACTATGAAGTACAGCGACCAATGAAATTGTAATACGGCAACATCCGCTCAGTTCTTGAACCGGTCGCATAAAAATTGCTTTATGCAGTAATCTGAACACACCCCAATTTTTACGTTTGGCCAGGTAACTTCGTAAAGACTATACCTGATTCTATATGGAATTAGCTCCCTAATAGAGCCGCTCACTGTGTAACACGTCATGACGCCCATCTAAGTTATGAATGCGTTTTTTCCGAACGTTTTGTACGTGGACTACACCCTTAAATGATCCCCGACTAAAACTAAGGTAATTTCATCGAGTAATGACGAGAAAAAACAACACACACCAAAAGGCGGCTACCCGATTTGGCTAATAATAGATATCCTGTTGGCGCGAAGCCAGGCTTCTGTTTTTCTCGGGACTCCTTAATTTTCACATTAGTCAGCCCGAAAACCCATTCAGGCAGCTTGGGCTACAACTCGAGTTTGTCGTTGCATGTAAACATGCGTTTTGCCATTTATATTGTCCGTGTGTCACATCGAAACATCGCTCGGTCCTAAGTCTGGCGCGCAATCCGTCCAAATAAATTGAATGTCTTTAGTTGATGCGTGTTTTTCGTAATTGCGTGGCCAACGGCTAATTTGATGTGTTGACGCTGACCGTTCTGTTGCAGAAATCTCTTGATGCGAGAACACGCTCTGGCCCAGCGGAGAAAAACCGTGGAAGAGTTGTTGAAATGGCATCAACGGCTGTTGCACGAAGAAAAATCAATCGAACATTTGGAGAGCAGGGTGGACAAAATTATCAAGAAGAACCCCATCCAGGGCAATGAAGAAGCGTCCTATAAGGATAGAGTTTCCGGCGAGGAAACCAGCGCCTCCTCGATGTCTCAGGTGGCTTTGGAGCCTGCAGTTGCCGATCAAGAAGTCATCCATTCCAGAGTGGCATCGTCCACCAACTATACCGCTGACTTTGAGGTTGAATCGACTTCCCATAAATCAGACGATCAAAGCAGCGTGTCTTCCCTCACTCACTTAATTGAAGATCTCAGCAAAATAAAGGATAACATTCTAAACTCAAGCTTGATTCAAACACATTCTTCCGGCCTACATGAACCGACTGAGCGACATTCTCAAATCAGCCATGAAAATGCAGCAGTCGGCCACAGTCCAAAGGAATCACTCTTCAACAGCGAAGCGGAAGAAGAAAGCATCCAGGAGGATGTGGAGTTGACCAGCAGTGAAAGTGATCAGATTCTTATCTCTTTAGCTAGTGTAAAAGAAAGAACGCCTCTAAGTAAACCCGCTATAGACCTGCAGGCGTCAGCACAATCTACCAATGACGATCCGATAACCGTCAGCGAAGAACAGGCCAGTGTTTTGGAAACCTCAAAAGATCACATAGAAGAAGAAGTAGAACCTGAGCCTGCTGCTCTGGAAGTAGAAGCAGTGGAAGCCTCCATTATTCTGCCTGAAATACCCAGTACTTCCAGCCCCTTGCTTCTAGAAGAAGGCATTGCAATTCCTACAATCCCCGGGGCTGAAAGTGCATCGCCCCTCGAACCACAAGAAGAAATTTCCACATCAGGAGAAGACATCTCAACATCGAAGCAGTGCGAGGAGATTGAAGACTTGGATTGCAACCAGCCATCGACATCTCACCAGGAGAACTTTGCTTTGCCTCTGGACTCCAACGGAAAACTTTCCGAGGATTCTGAAGAATCTCACTCCTCTGCATCTTCAATAGTCAGTGACCTTCCAAGCGAACTACCCACTCAAGAGGACAGGCAACTGTTTGAGAACAAAACTGATGAAGAAAAGGCTGCTTCTTTGAGTGGGAAGTCTTCAGGATCCAGCAAAGCTAAAGTGAAAACCGCTTCCCCCGAAGAGGCCAGCACAAGTACGCGGGAAGAGCAGCAGTTGTCCACAGATGATGCAGAATCTGGAAACAGTCTGGGAATCAAGGGTAGATTTTCCATTGCAAGTGATGCGATAGCCAAACTGGTTGAAAAACCGTTGGAAAGTGCAACGTCAAGTGTGGAAACGGCAACGGAAAAAGACACAGATAGTCCGCAGCGAAGCAAGACTGATGAAGCTTCCACTAGTGCGGAAAATTTATCATTGGTGGTCAGTGAAGCCTTATCTGAGCAGTCTCAAAGCCCAGGTAGTGGTTGATTTATTTCAGAATCTCCTTTGAGCCTGTAGTTAATTCTTTTATTTCCATGTAGATTCATCTGCAGCGGATAAAAAGCCGCTTTCATTGGGAACAGAGGCCGAAGAGCTGCATAAGAAGCAATTGGCAATTGAACAAGAAGTACTAACTGTTTGATTAATTAATGCTAGAAAAAATAACACAACTCTGATGTTGAATTGCAGATTAAGCTGCTCAAGGAGCAGCAGCAAAAAGAGGTAGCTTCTCCATTTTATATCAGAGAAATCCCCAACAAACCACCTCCTCCTTACACGCCGCCTTCAAAAGCCAAAGTTCCCAGACCGCCCTCAGTGATGCCAGGAAATAAGGACGAAGTGGAGCAAATCACTGAATATTCAGCCAAGATTATTCACAAAGCCTATCTGTCGAACAATCTGGATAATATTACTATTTCAGATAACACGCTGAATCTCATTGCGAAAAACATCGATAAAGGGTAAGTGCTTGATGTTCAGGATTATGAGTGATAGTTTCATTTCAATAAACACTCGAAAATTTTTATGCCAAATACTTTCATAGTTATGTAATAATAATTAAATAATATGATCAATAGTGTTTTCTGCTTTTTTAGCTGTTACAAGTACGTTTTTGACCTTTGCAAAGAAATTGCGATTGATCACTATGGGATTTTTCTGGCGGAAACGGGACCATCCTGGTTGCATCCAGAAAAGAAGCCATTTCTATCTTCTACCCGACCACTGGATGTTAACGGTCTCAAAGAACTCATGAACAAGAAACTTCTGGAAATGTTCGGCTTTCAGACTAAGCAAGGCAGAAGGGAGAATGCCATTATGAAGTGGTCGAGGAAGAAACGGGACTATGTGGATGAGGCATTGGTTCAGGTATATTTGAAAATGTTCGCAGTAATTGGAGTCATTTTAAAGTAAAAGAAAAGCACATTCTGTTCATGTAGTTGCATCGATCTATGGTGAAATATCATGTTTTCTAATGTTTTCGAAAAGTACTTAGCTAAATACTGTTTTATTTTTATTTTAAAGAATATGCATTCGGAAGAATCAACCTGGACCAATTTCGACAAAAACGAAGCTTTAGTCAAAGATCAATTAACCAACGAATTGCTGCAAATGTTAATGGGTGAAACTGCTGAATTGATGCAGAAAGTCTTCCAGAAGAAGATGGATGCGGAAATGCAGGGATAAGTCGGCCTTTGTGGGTTGAAAAACGCATTTTCTATTTTTCCAATTGAAACCAGTCCACGAGCTCTGGTATTCTGTTTTTATAAAACTCGTTTGATTTAAATGTTTGATCTTACAGATCGGTATTTTTATATTTATTGTATAATGTCTCTAGCCATGTTATTTGTTAGGTACTTTTTTGTACATTTGAGCTGATGTAAAATATTATTATTAGTTTCCAATGTTGGCTCTACAGTGGAGCATTACTGGTTAGCTGAAAAGTGTTTCCATCGTATTTTTTCCGAAGATTCTGATAGGAAAAACAGATTTTTTGTCACTGATAAGAACTGATGTTTTTTGTACTCGAACCTTTAACAGTTAGAATAATAATTTATTTGTATAAATACTCAGGTGGTTTTTTTAAGGTTTTTAAGATTCTTTCATCCGTTCGCCTTATATTATGGCGACTTGTATTATATATTATGTATTTTTGTAAGAATATATTCATGCATTCTAGCTGATTCTTTCATGTTTATTTTTAAACCCTTATACATTTGTATTGTTATTATCGATAATATTTCACGTCAGGTGCAGTTGCAAGGTTTTATAAGTAACTTTTTTTTTCGTTCCCAACCACGAGCGTTTTCACGCTTTCTGTTATCTTCGTCGTCGTCAAATGTTCAATATAATTCTATAACTTATAATTTAATACAATGATAATGGAATAATTTTCATTCATTTTAATGTCCCTTAAAATGAACAAGCAGTGAATTTCAATGAGTGAACAGTGGTCAAAAACATAATTTTTTGTTTAAAACAACACTAAGAAAAGTTGTTAATAAAAAGATTATGCACATTTTTCACGGGCCAGGGCTGATTCCCTCAAAATTTCATTATTTTCCAATAAATTTC